GGGTGTGTGTGTGTGTGTGCGTGTGCGTGTGCGCGTGTGCGTGTGCGTGTGTGTGTGCGCGTGCGTGTGCGCGTGCATGCGCATGTGCGTGTGTGTGTGTGTGTGTGTGCGCGCGTGTGTGTGCGTGTGCGTGTGTGCGTGTGTGTGCGCGTGCGTGTGCGTGTGCGCGTGTGTGTGCGCAAGTGAGCATGCAGACAGAGGAGAGAGGGGGAGAGGGACAGAGAGGGAGAGAGGAAAGGAGTTGAAAATTAATGAGTATAGTTGTAGGGAGACACTGTAGCCCCGCCTCCTAGGAGCTGGCTACAGGTGTGCTTGTCTAGCCTGTGAGGGCGTGGTCAGGGGAGGTTCAGGATGAGGCATGGGGAATTCTTAAGGAGGCAACAGACGTGGGAGCGGGAGTGCTCTTTCTGGGCTCCCTAGCCTGCTGCCTCAGGGCACTCTCTCTCTGGCTTGTGTTTGGCTGGTGTTTATCTGAATAAAGACATCCTAACCCATACACCTGGTGCCCAACATTGTAGGGAGACACTGTAGCCCCGCCGCCACTGTAGCCGGCTGTTACAGTGTCTCCCTACATTTAATCTCTGCTTCAAACCTTCTGATGGTCTCTCATTTTTCTACCCCAGTCAGGGATGTGACCCCCTCATCAGCCTTGTCCACCCCTTGTCCCCATGCTCCACTCCATGAGAGAATATGTTCCCCATTAGAGGGTCATTTTACCTGCTGTTCTCTTTGCCTAGAATGCTACATCCAATGCCAGCCTCCAACCATCTCACTTCTCCATCCAAGCTGAGGGACATGCATGCCCTGCTCTGAACAGAAGTCTGTTTCCTCAGACCAGCTCTGTCTATCCAAGAGGTTTTTTTTTAATATAGAAAGAGAAATCTTTGTTGACTGAGAGCTTTCAGCTAGAGCAATTAGATTCATAACACTTAGTCATGTTGAAAGTTATTTTTATTAATAAAGTACTAATGTTTACAATAACAATAGTGATATCTTAAGATTTCTGATTTTGGTTGAGAAAAGGGATAACGAAAGAACATAAGCTTCAGAAATAACGGGTGGAAGAGATTAGGGTCTTATGTGAATAATTATTTTATTTAGAGAAAATTCCAAAATTGCTCTTTTCACATGAGCCACCACAGGGGGCAAGAAGAAGCATAATAACATTGACTCAAAATACAGGTTAAGCTCACTAGTCTGTGAAACCAGTTGTGGCAGCAGTCGCAGGGGCAACAGAAAATACAGTGTTTCAAATGTTTCCACCCTGCTGGGAAAAATGCCAAGTTGGAGTGTGATCTGACCTGCATCTCGTAGCTTCTGTAAGGGAAGAAAAAAATAGCAAACAAACCAACCAACCACCAAAACACTGGGAAAGAGCAGAGAAGTTACAAGAAAGCCAAAAAAGGAAAGAGGAGTTGGATGATAAGACAAGGGGCAGAAGCCCCCGAAGCCTACGGAGGAAGCCTGTTACCCACCATTGAGTCTTTGGAGAGGGATCCCAGCTGTATTACCGGGATCCACAGAGACTGCATTCTAAAGAAAGCACTGCATGCTTTACCTCCCGAGACTGTCAATGTGCTCCACCACCAGGACCCAGACACATGACTCCTGCTTTTCCCATTTGCAGCACAGCGCAATGTTTCACCAATTTTCCCCCTCTCTGCCTATTACTCCATAGCATGTGGCCCTGCACTTCTTCCTAACTGAGGGCAGAGTGTACTTTCCAGGGGACTTGGCTTAGGAGATGCTTTGGCTAACAAAATACTACCAGACATGCTGCTTGGAATAGGCTTTTATTCCTTGGGTGTCTGTTATCACCGAGAGGAACTTTGTTACCCTGGATGATAACTGCAGGTTGGAGGTGGGTCACTCTAAGCCCTGGTATCATCAAGCTGAGCTGTAGAAATCTACTTGAGGTAATTTTAAATTTGTTTTTAAAATTGCAAACACAGTAGTTTCCACATATTCCAAACACCCTTCCCAAAGGTAATATCTTACATAGTCATACAAAAATTACTATTAGTGTTAACTATAGACCCCTTTCAAACCTTACCAGCATTACCACTACCCAGTTGTTTCCTTGTTCTAGAAGTTACTATTGGGGTTTTTTCCTTCTTTTCATGTACATATGTGTGTGGTATGTACATGCATATATGCATGTTCACAGAAGTGTGGATTTACATGTGTGGAAGTCCAAGGTTAACATCAGGACTCTTCCTAATGTATTTCTTTTTCAATTTCTTCTTTAAGACAGGGTCTCTCAATCAAACCCAGAACTCACTAATAAGGACTGTCTTAT